TTTTTAGGAACATGGATGCTCTTTGATGTTAAGAGCTGCTTATATATATGGATGCTCTATAATGTTAACTGACTTAAATCAGACACACAAGCTTAGATGTATCATGATTTCTCATATAAGAAATCCAAAATATAAATAAAGAGCAAAATAAAAGATAGATAATAGGAAGTGGGGAGATACATCTTTTCAAAAAGAGAAGGGCACCTAGAGACAGACTGAGGAGTGGAAGGGGATGAAAAAAGAAATGAAATGTGTTATGTACACGTACCAACCTCCCGCAAGAAATGTGTCCATTATATACTATAACCATGTACTAATGCAATAAATATTTGAAAAAAAAAGAAGATGAAAAGCAGAGTTAAATTTGAAAACAAATACATTTAGAGTCTCATGTACTAAAGTTTGGGGCTTTATGTGGAGGGTGGTAGGCCTTTCCAGCAAAAAATTAAGCAGAGGACATGAGCATATTTGTGTTTATAAAAAGGAATAGTGTGGAAAGAGAGTTTTCTTGCAGGAAACCAACTGTGAGGCCTCTGTGGTGATCCAAGAGACACAGAATGTACAAGCATGGGCAGAAGACAATCAAGATGGAAATGAAGGTGCTGGCTGAAAAACATTAATAGGCAGACATGACAGGACTGGGTGAATGACAATAAATGAAGGATAAGAAAGAAGTAGGATGGGGTTTAAGGAAGATTCCTAGCTTGGATGGCCTATTTAATTGTGATACAGCACACAAACAAAAGCATAGGAAAAACATTAACTTGATTTTAATTTTATTTTTTTTTCTCATTGAGTTTATTGGTACATTTTAGGTACACAGTACAGTTACATTCATCATTGGGATCCTGTACCTTTACATGACAGGTCGTGGTTCTCATTTTTTCCCCTTGTCCCTGCCTTACCTTCATCCCCTCCCCTCCTCCCCATTTACAAACACTTCATTTCCATTTTTTCATTTTCTCATATTTTTTCCCTTATTACCTTTCCCCTACCCTTCCCACTTTCCCTACACCTTTAGCCCTTTCCTTCCTATTTCACATTGTCAATTATATCATTAGGATCTTATGTACCATTATAATTTTTCACATTGATTTTAATTTTATTCAAGGAAAAATTAGGCAAGACTCAGTCATGTAAGCATGAAGACCTTTGGACTCCTTGGCTTGAGGCCTTCTGCAGCCCTGGCTCGCTTCCCCCATCTTTTCTTGGAGCAGACACCAGGGACCACACGAGCTCCACACTCTCCAGAGCTGTGCTCCTGTGTCCCTGGAGGATCCACTCCCCCAGAGTTTCCCTGCACAGAATAAGTTATTCCCCAGCTTCCTCTTTCCTCCAGCCCCAAAGACAAGTACACATGACATTTTTAAAAATTACTATTAATTACTACCAAGAAATGGAGAAAAGCAAGACTAACAAACAGTGGGGAATTCCCAAGCTTAAGAAATCTCACTGATTCCGTTAGTCTGAGTACAACAGGGAGCCAGTTCCAGCTGTCTCTCTCGTCTTGCTAAACATTTATTTCTGAGGATATAGGCCAGCCATCTCCCCAGCCTAGGTCAATACTTTAAGAAGAGAGAATACTGACTTTTTTCTTAGGAAAACACTTTTCCTTAAAGAGTTGCCCTAAATCCCTTTTTGTCTGTACATTAGTTTCAAAATACTTACTGGACATTTTTTTCAAGCACTGAGGCAGGGCCCTGGGCACAGGATAGAGAAAATGACCCAATCCATGCCCAGGGGAGGGAGGGCTCATCCATCAGTGCTGCCGGACCTTAAATATCCATGCATTTCTAGGCAGCATTCTTTTCCCAAGTGAATAGTGTATTTGGGTAACCTCCATGGTGGCAGGAATTTTATTTTTTAACTCCGTGTTTTATTTACTGCTGCATCTCCATCACCAAGCAGAGTGTTTGGCACAAGGTGGATACCCGATACATGTGCCTTGAATCTTGAAATGTTCTCTGCCAAAAGCAGAAAGGTCTTCAAACGTTTTCACTTAAGATTGACATATCCAAATATAGCCCGATAAGCTTGACATTCTTCATATTCATTAAAATAAAAAGAAAAAGGAAATGCACTTGCTGGAATTTATTTTACCTCATCTTCAATTTCTCTTGTGTTCTGGGAAGTGTATCAAAAACATTGGGCAGTCAGTCACAGTAGGTTTTAGACCCCAACATGGGGAGAGGGAAAGGGAAGGGAGAGGGGAATCAGTGAGGGCCTCAAGGTTCCCAGCCATAGATGTGGCTGCTTGGATTTCCTAGCAGTACCTCCCAACAAGCCTGTTCTTCGTGCGCTGTTGTCTTGGCCTTGGTTCTATTGATGGGTGGAATCTCAGTTCTGGATTCTGGAATCTGGGGTGAGGTGTCTGTTAATGAGTTGGGAGACAGTGTTCTGTGAGTTGTGAGGCTGGGTCATAAGGCAAGTCTGTGCTGCTAGTTAGCTTTGGAGGCCTGAGACAATTAGCAGACTGTGTCAGCAGTCTGACTGCCTTCGAGCCACCATGGTGTGAGGTGGTCTCAACAACCCTGTGTGGAGAAACTAAAAGGAGGGTGACACAAAACTCTTTGGAGAAGGAGATATCTCCATATGCTTTGAAATCCTCTTCTTCCTTCTCCCAGTGTGGGCTCCTGGCAACTTCCCCATGAGAGGTTAAGGTAAGGATTCCCAATTGAGCCCATCCCAAATCCCTGACCTACAGAAGCATATAATGTGGTAATTACTCTTTTAAGCCACTGTATTTTCTTTTAGTGATGTGTTACACAGCAAGAGATAAAAGCAGTAGCTGGCAGGTAATGCTTGGTTTCCCAGGGGTAGTCTGCTGTATTTCAGCAGCTCTCAAAACAGTATTTCTTTTCTTTTCATTTCTTTTCTTTTCTTTTCTTTTTTCTTCTCTTCCTTCCTCTATTTCCTTCTCCCCACCCTCTCTCTGTACATATAGATATAGATCTATTTCTATATATTTTCTCTAAATGTCTATCTCTCTTCTATCTTTTCTCTTCTCTTTATCTCTCTTTCTCTCTTTTTCTTTGAGTTATTTCTTCACTTTGAGAGGTAACCCCTCACTGTTGTGTTTGGTTGTCACAAGGTGGCCAGGATGAATAAGGAATCCAAGTCTCTCCTAGGAGGACATCAGATACTGGACAAAACAAAGTACTCTCCAAAAAGTACAGGAAGAAGGAAGGAAGGAAGGAGAGAGAAAAGGAAAGAGAGAGAGAGAAAAGAAAAGAAAAAAGAAAAGACTAGAGAGGGAGGGAGGAAGAGAAGGAGCAGGAAGAAGGGGAAAGGGGAGGAAGAGAGTAAGAAAACAAAGGAAGGAGGAGGAGAACAAGAGCAGTGACAGCAGGTGGAGGAGGAGTGACTATAGATTCTTGAAAGCCACCATTATGCTGTTTTATAATTTTATGTGAATTCTTTTCCAGTGGAAGTTAACAATCATAAATCTCATACACACTTAGATAATTTTAAATTTTTACATTTAAATCGTTCCATCTGCAAAACTAAGGACAACAAATTAATGTTAACTCTTGGATCCTTGCTGAAGGGAGATCATTTTGGTCCCCGGTACCTTTATGACATTTGATTCTCCCTATCAAGTTGATGTTTGGAGCTTTCTATGAACATAACTTCCTTCCCCTCCTCCTGCTTATTATAAAATAGATGTCAATTATACTTATGCTTACAAATGAATATTTTTCTTTAAAAATTTAGAAAACTAATGAAATGAAAACAGGAACACAATATTTCTAGATTAAGAGCACAGTAAATTAAAAGATGTCTAATTTGAACTCATTTAGCTAAAAAGTAAGTGTCTCGACTCATGTAACCAAGTGAGAGCCAGAGCAAGGATTATGCTGTTCTCAAGCATGGCTGGATCCAGACATCAAATGTGTCAAGACTTTTCTTTGAGTTTTTCATCTCTGCTTATCTATGTGGAGAATTTTTACTTTCTCCTACATCACGTGAACTTTCTCAGACAGCTTGGGGGTGGAAGAATTTAACCACAGGCAATCTCAGTCTGAGTCTAGCAGCGATACTCATAGGTGACCTCCCAGGAAAGAAATACCTCATCCAGCTGACTCTCTGTCTTTATTTGGAAGCTGTAATCTTCAAAGGTCCTGCCTGCGAATTCCTTTCTGAGTGTGAAACAACTTCAGCAGCCCATATAAACTCATTGGCAAAGGCAGTGGGCTCTGTTCCCCTTGGTCACTCTCTGATGAGCAGCCAGCCAAGTTTGACTCTTAAATATTGGCACAGAAACTCCAAACCCACTTCTACTGCCATGAAAAGTTGACCTTTTGATGACCCTTTGCATGTCCATCTTAAGCAAAAACGCCCTCCAACTTTGGCTGCCTAATTCACGTGACAATTCAGAAGTCTTTGAAATTCTTAATACCTAGGATCTTCAGTTACAAAATATAGGTTGCCTCTAATTCTCCAATGGAGAAAAAAAAGGGTATAATATTAAAACACCTAGCCTGTGCCAAGTACATACTAGTTTCCTTGAATATAGTTCACATCATTTTCTTATAACAGTGTGAAAAACTATCTTAAATTCTTTGTGCTAGGTCATCTCTACACCTCTGTTATTGGCCAAAAGCTCAATTCTTCTCTTTTAGCTGTTGAAGTTTTAGAGGACCAAATACAGCATGCTTATCCCTCATCAAAATGTAGGACCAATTAAGAAACATACATAGGAAAATGGAAATTAAATGCTAGTTCTTTATTGAATTGAAAAACTGGATTAGACTGGGCTTTTACTTGCAAACACATAGGACTCTGAAGCTTCTGTTCAGTGCTCATCCTCCCATACATAGCTCCTGCTGCCATAGAGTTTGGTTTAGCCTAGCTGAGGAATGTGCGCCTACAAAGTTCATGTAATGTCTTGAGGACAAGGAGAGAAGAAAGAGGAGCAACTCTACAGTATATCAATCATTGAATGGATTATTTTCCACTTTTAGGAACTATGGAGAGATGTCTACGGCTATTTCAGGAGAGGAGGTGGAAGGTGTACTTGAGGAATAAAAAGAAGGGAGTGTTATTCTTATGGTGATGGTGGGAGCTCGAGCTAGAGACCTGAAAGGAGAAGAGATAATGATTAAAGACAGCAAGACCTGGTGTTGGCTCTTATTTGCAATTCCCAGGAAGCACTTCACTTGCCTCCCCCAAAGAGTGAAGATTTCCTAAGAAGAGATAAAGGTAGAACTTTTGGGGTCTTTTATAAAATATGTAAAATTAATCCTGAAACACATCTATTTTCCAAAGTTTCCTTTTCCATTTTGCTGTGGTTTGTTTATCGCTGGTGCGTCTTCCAATTTTGGGTACTGACACCTCATCCTGCTGTAATGTGGGCTGTGTGGGATCTTTACAGGGTGCATGATAATAAGAGGTCATCAAGGATGCTGCCCTTGGAAGGGATTAAAGTAATTCTCATGGAATCCTTGACCTCTCACAAAAGTGAGTTACTACTTACTTCCAATGAAATCACCATTTAAGAAAACCACAGGGGGGAGTAGATTTCAGCCTGAATTTTAAAGGGACACAAATATTCAGGACATAGCAGGGGACTTCTGCATTATGTTTTTCTTTATTTACATCTTGTGAATAAACTTGATAAAACCTTAGTCCCAGCACAATGTGTATGTCCATTCCTCAGCTGTCTCAAATCACAGGCTGATTTCCTTGGTTGAGTCTTAGATGATGTATTACTAACTTTTTTGTTTGTTTGTTTGCTCAGACAAAATTCCTGACATGCACAGTTTAAGGGAGGAGAGGTTTATTTTGGTTCACAGTTTCAGAGGAGGCAGTCCACAGCCCTTTGGCTCTGGTGGATAGGTGTTATAGAGTAAATCTGCTTACCTCGTGGAAGCCAGGAAGCAGAGATAGGGGAAGGAGCTAAGCTGGAGACAAAACCACCCCCCAGGTCACACCTGCAAAGGCCTCGCCTCCAGATGCTCCCCCCATCCTGTTCAGCTCTGAATTCATCAATCCAATAGAGCACCCCGTGATCCATTCAACTCCCAGAAGGCTCACAACTGAACCACTATATTTTGGGGCTCATTTTAGATATAAACATAACCAATGCCCATAAAAATTTTGTAGTCATAATTCTGGGACATGAGGTAAAAATCAAGACAGATCAAAGCAAACTTTAATCATATGCTCATTCTTAATTATAAATATTTTATTTATTTATTTTGGTTTTTGAGACAGGGTTTCACTATGTAGTTGAGACTGACCTGGAACTCACTATGTAGCCGAGGCTGGTGTCAAACTCACAGCAATCCTCCTGCCTCAGCCTCCTGAGTGCTGGGATTATAGGCCTGCACCACCACGCCCAGATCCAATTATAATTATTAAATCAATGTCAAATGCTGACATTAGTTTTACCAATAGTTAAGGTATCTTGTAATGCTTTAGTAAAATAGTCTACTGATATTCCACTTTTCTGTTTTTTTCCTTGAAAGACTTTTCCATATCTGAAATAGTAGCTTTGTTAAAATTTTGCTGAGTCCTTCTCACATATGATTTTCCCTGTCTGGACAATCTAATCTATTCTAATTGCATCATTTATCATCTTTGTGCTAATGATGCTACAAGCTTTATCTCCAACCTATACTACATCCAACGTATATGAGGCTGAAGGCACAAACACTAGCCAACTTCTCAGCTCAAGTCTGAATGCTGTCTTCTACAGAATTGCCTCATTTTCAGAGGAGATCAGTCTTTAAGAATTGCCTTTTTCAGAGGAGATCAGTCTTTTGTTCCTTTCTGATCTACAACGGTTTGGATGAGGTTCACTCATACTATGACAGGCACGATGCTTTACTCAAACTTCACCAGCGTTAGTCTCATCCAAAACCACCCTCACACAAATATCCAGAGAAATGATTAGCTAAACAACTAGTCACTGTCGCCTAACCAAACTGACATATGAAACTAACTGTCATAATCATTTATCATATTATATATGAAATAAACTTGGCCTCGGAGAGGTAATTCACCAAAGTTCACACAAATAATAAATAGAAAAATTGGAATGGAGAAATGGGCACTCTGTCTTCAGAAACTATTCTTTTAACCACCATATTATTTTAAACTTTTTGTTTGCAAGACAAAACTCATCATAATGTTGTGTCTTTGTCATTTGCCTTATTTCACTGAAAGGAATGGTTCTAGTTAGCTTTCCAAGAGATCTGCCTAGAAGTCCACTTTAACTACTCTGTCATATCCAAAGAATTCCTCCAAATACAAATATTTCCTCTTGTTTCATCCATGTACATGCGTGCCTACATCAAATTTCTAAAAGTGAAAATCTTAATTTGAAGTTCCTTATAGCTCATCTATATGTAAGGTTACAACAGAAATACTTTATCTTATTCATTAGCTCCTTCTTTGCAACTATTATTTCCCCCGATCTGGAGCATATTCCTGTGTACAAATGTGTACATAGAGGTCCATGCCACCTACCTAAATCCCAGCGGTCAGTTACACCTAGATTAAAAGTCTGTTTTCTTCAGCATCATCAAATGATCTACCAAGAGCTGGTGAATTGGTCCCTTAATGCTTTCCCAGACTCGTAGCTCAAGGCATGTTACCTGTGTTATGATTACCTGATGTTCTGGTATGAATGTTTTTCTTAAATTTATGTGTTGGAAACCTAATTTGCCATATGACAGTGTTGGAAGGTAAGATCTAATTGGAAGTATTTGGATCATGAGAGCTCCCCTAGTTGTCCAGTGGTTTAATATTGCTACAGAAAGGCCTTTCAGAAAGGGCTTCATTCTCTTTTGCCCTTCTGCCTTCCACCATGTCAGAGCAGAGCTCTAACTAGAAGTTGGCACCTTGACCTTGGACTTCCCAACCTCCAGAACTGTAAGCAATAGATTTCTGTTCCCTACAAATCAGATATTTTATCAGATAGTCTCAGATGTTCTGCTGCACTCCTATGACATGAAATATGACATCTGGTTTATGTATACTCCATGAGCTTCTCCACATTTCATACAGTACCTACATATTGTGCCTGCATATAATAAACACTTGTGGGGATGCATCTCTGTATTTCTTCTCACATATTAGCTGCACTGCTCTTCAATTTGAATTTTTTTTCATTTTTTTTCTTCTTATTGAGTTTATTGGTACAATCTAGGTATACAATACAATTACATTCATCATTGGGATTCTGTACCTTTACATAATAGGTCTTGATTCTCATTTTTCCCCTTGTCCCTGCCCTCTCTTCACCCCCTCCTCCCCTCCCCATTTGCAAACACTTTTATTTCCATTTTTTCAGTTTCTCATATTTTTTTCCTCTCCCTTATTACCTTTCCCCCACCCTTCCCACTTTCCCTATACCTTTAGCCCTTTATTTCCTATTTCACATTATTAATTATCTCATTAGGATCCTGTGTACTACTATAGTTTTTCACACCAAAGAAACTATTCGTTGTTTCAGTTAAAGATCTCTGTATGAACATTAAAAATAGGGAATTCCCAAATAAAACTAAAAAGGAAAGTAAAAGAGTAAAGGAAATGATGTAACATTAAAATAATCCTTAATTCTGGAGATGAAAATGGTCCCTGAACATATTTAAATTGCTTCACACTCTTATAGTCTTATTCTTTTTTTTTATTATTTGGAGAATACTTTATTAGTTTCTGTAATCAAACCCACATAGATATGACCTTACATATTTAGTATGATGTGTTACCCCTGTACACATGGAAAAAAATAAAAAATATAAATATAAATAAATTAACATTTCTAGACCAATATGGTTGTCCATTT